ACAGTAGTAGAATCTGAATCGGTGTCCTTTGCTGGCCATGGGCACAGCCCAGGGCAAAATATGCCAGGGGTACAGCAGGAATAAATGTTTCCTAGCTCTCATTAGCCAAATGAATAAAGAAACCCTTGCTGCACCCAGAGAGTGTGCCCAAAGTGGGAGTGTAAGTACCTGATATGTCTGAATGATGATGAGACATTAAAAACAAATCTGGCACTGGGCTGGCAAGATGGCTCAGCAGGTAGAGCTGCCCGCAGCCAAGGCTGCCAACGTAAGTCTGATACCCAGGGCCTATATGGTGAAAAACAAAGTCCTCCAGTTGTTCTCTGACCTCCACATATGCACCGTGGCATGCACATCACATATGCATGCATGCAGACATACACACGTGCACACACATACATACAATAAATATAATATGTATTTAATTGGACACTCCGGCTTTTTCAGTTTGATCGTGTGGCTAGTTGCCAGTACATGACCACTAGGAACGGGCATAACAAAGCCATCTCGGCTCATGTGAAGCTCCCCATGGCAGATGACACACAGACAGTAGAAAAGGCAGGATATAAGGGGCAACATGGGCACAGCCGACAGTGACCGCAGTCCGATATTAGCGTGTTTATGAAGCGTGTGTCCGTGTGTGCTGTGTAGATCTGCTGTGTCACACAGTTCTGGGTGAAGCCTTGGCTTTGCTTTCTGCAGCGCTGTCTGATTCTCTAAGAACCTGATGTGTTTCTTTGAGAGAGAAACAGCAGCGCTGTCTAGCTCAGCCGTACTCAATCTGAGTTGCCTTCCTCCCTACAAACCCGCACTTCAAAGCAAGGAACATAATGTACAATTTTTTAATGGCTCTAGACCCAGGCACTCAGACTCTCTGCTCTGCGCCTTACCTCAGTGTAAACACCTAATCAAGATTGCCTGCGCTCCAACAATAGCAGCCAAATGCAATTTGAGAGCCACAAGCCTTTGAAGTCCTCCCTGCAAAGGCCGGTTTTCTAGTCTGGGATAATGACATGCCATGATTGCTGTCTTTGTTGTATCTTTTCAGGACAGAAGCAATTATAGGCCCCAATTTAACAGAATAGACATTACACAGCTTACGATGCTCAAAATGCAATTTCATTTGATCATTTTCTCGATTTGATTGGTATTAATAGAATGGTTCACAAAAAAAAAGAAAAAGAAAAAGAAAAAATAGCTGGCAGAGGTTGTGTCCCACTCCACTTTCAAAGAGCTAATGTAGAAGTATGTTTTACCTGCCCAGCAAGCTCACTGGGGTGATGCAGCCAAGCTCCACCAAAACAGAGTGCATAGAGACCGTGTGTGTCCCTCGCTCCCTCGCAAAGGAAGCAGCCAACGCTCTGTTAGTAATATGTAAAGTTTCTGACAGAAATATGTAAGCATGGTTATCAATGGAAAATTAATGGCACTGATGATAAACTCCATTATCTAATGCACATCCTGTATTTCTCTTTGAATTGTGAAAGCCGGAGAAGCTCCATCCCACCGGCCGTCTCTCCTATTCCCTCCAGAAGACATTTTAAGTCTCTTTGGGGTTAGAAGCGTAGCCTTGCCTGCTCAGGCAACCTAGTTAGAACTTTTGACCTCCGTTTCCCATTCAAGACAGAGTTGGTTTTTCCTTGAAATAAATCTGCTTAACATCATAATTAATAGTGATAAGCAGTATTATTGCCTATTAATAGGAGATACACAGTAGCCATGGATGGACACACATGCCTAGAACCCCAGTGCTTGGGAGGCCAAGGCAACAGGATGGAAGCCAGCCTGGACTACAACATAGCAAGACTCTGTCTCAAAAATAAAAAAATAAAATAAACAAACAATATAACAAAAACCTTTCTAATGAAGCCAGTAACTGCTGCATTTTGTAATCCGGGGTGCTTCTGGAAACAGCTGTGTGAGGGAAGCCCTAATGTAAATTTGGGAAGTGGTTCTTGACCTTTATTAAACCTTCTAGACTTCAGACAGTTTTATGATATGAAGCCTTCCACTTGTAGAGGAGGCTATTCATTCAAAAGCAGATGATCACTTCCATTTAGAAAGCATTCGTGATCAAATAGTACACTCTTTGTCCTTATTTTGGGAATAAAACCTCGAGCAACTGCTTTATTATTATTATTGTGTATGTATGCAATGAGTGAGTACATGCAACATGCACGCAACAGCACACATGTGGGGTCAGGTTGCAAGATCAGTGCTCACCTTTGACCTCTACATATAAGGTTATCAAGTGTACACAGCAAACACTTTGTCCTCTAAGCCATTTCAAGAGCCCCAGGTCAACTTTCAATTATTTGAGCTTCTATATTGCCTACTTTTTTTTCCTGGTGTGTGTGTGTGTGTGTGTGTGTGTGTGTGTGTGTGTGTAGTAATTCTGATAGTTATTTCATGAACTTACTAGGGACAGATGAGGTTATACTCAAGTTAAAAGAAACACAGTGTTCCTTCTTGAACTATAGATGCCAAATGGAATGGAAAAGATTGAGATTGTCATCATTGCCAAATATTTACTTAGCATATAATAGTAAGCAAATATGTGTCCTTCTTAGTCTTGAACACTATTGGTAAACATAAGCAGCCGAGGGAGAATTTGAACTTGAGCCTATCAGATCTGTTCCCGATGATCCAACATTCTTGCACATGGCCACTCCACACTCCACAGCCCACCACAAAAAAATTAACAAGATATGTGCAAAGCCCTAAAGCTACATGAAAAAATGAATAGCGTCCATTCAGAAGGGGAGAGACTTGACATTTACAGGTAGAGAAACAGACAGTAGACACCAGAGCCCAACCAGAGTAACAAGTCATGGTAAGAATGATGTAGAATCTTGAGACAGAAATGTTAAGAATGGGTGTGTAGGAGAGACTTCTGGGTGGATGTGCTGTCTGAAAGGGGGCTCACCTAATCTGTGTTACTCCATAAAGCAGAGGGATAGACAGTGTGAAAAAAACGTGTCTGTTTCTGTAAGAGATTTCAGACACGGAGGCTACTCAGTGATGGACGCTCTGTTCATCATGCATGAAACAGATTCCTTTTTCTCCTCCTTAACCCCTAGAAGACCGTAGTGGACACGGCCGGTCAGGAGATGCAGGCAGACTGGATGAGTGTCTCCTAGAGTTGGCATGGATGTCCTGGAGCTGACGTGGCTCCTTTCCAGGTTCTCTCCCTACCCTGAGACAGTAGAACTTTAAGTCAGTGTCTGCTGGACATTCTAACAGACACCATTCTGTACAGCTCAGAGACATATTTCTTGTTATGAAAAATAGTCGATGGAAGGCTGTCATTATCACACTGCTGTAATCAAAATACTCGAGAAAACAGGTCAAAGAAGAAAGCTCTGTTTTGGCTTATGGTTTCAGAGGTTCGTTCTGTAGGTAACTTGGTTCCACTGGTCCTGAGCGGACGGTGAGGCAGAAGACCATGGCTGCAGCATATGGAGGAAGATACTGTTTTCACTGAATATTCGGGAAGCAGACCCAGTGTGGCCTTCAAAGGCTCACTCCCAGTAGCTTGTGTTCTCCAACTAGGACCCACCTCCTAAAGTTCCCACCACCTCCCACCATCTCTCCATCCTCCTACCTCAGCTTCCCAAGAAGGAAATGGCAGATGTGTACCACAGCACCTGCCTATTAAAATGGGCCTTGTCGGGTAGATGATTTCGCTCAACAGTGTGGGCACGTTTAAAGGAGGCTAGGCTAAGCTGTGATGTTCAGCTGGTTAGGGATGTGTCTTAGTTAGGGTTCATGTTGCTGTGGTAAAGCACCATGACCAAAAGCAACATAGGGAGGAAAGAGTTTTGTTTGTCTTACAACTCTGAGGTCACACTCCATCACTGAGGAAAGTCAAGGCAAGAACTCAAGGCAGGAATTTGAAGGCAGGAACTGAAGCAGAGGCCACAGCATAATCCTACTTACTGGCTTGCTCAGTTTGCTTTCTTATACAACCCAGGACCATCAGCCCAGGAGTGGCACTGTTTACAGTGAGCTGGGCCCTCCCACACCAATCATCAATCAAGAAAATGCCCCACAGATCAATTTTTGAGGCCCATTTTCTCAATTGAGGGTCCCTCTTTCCAAAAGACCCTAGTTTATGTCAAGTTGACAAAAAGCTAGTCAGTACAGTTAATTAAATGCATTTTTAAAAATTTATGATGTGTTTATCAGAACAAATTCCCCATTGTAAGTAAAGGGTATGGAATCGACATATTTCTGTTGCTGGGATCAACTGATACTTTTGGTATCCTGTTCTTATAACTGTTCTAAAGTTGGGTCTTTTGACCAGGCATGAGACATTCAAACAAGGAGTGCTTGGGCCTCAAAACACCAATTCTCCCTTCACACCTGCATGAGAGAACACTGTTTCCAACTTCTTCAAGAGCAATCCAGGTCCCTCTAGTGATTTCTATCTCAGATTTTCCCTAAAACCTCAGGTGTTGAAGGCTTGGTCCCCACCTGATGGTGCTGTCAGGAGATGGTCAACACTTTAGGAGCTAGGGTCTAGGTGAGGGGAGTCAGTTATATGGTTGTGTCCTTAAAGAGTACAGCAAGACGCTAGCCCCTTCCTCCATGTCCCCTGCTTTCTGGCTGCTGTAAGGTAAACCCCTTTGTTCCATGCTATACTCCCCACCATGGTATTCAGCATCACCCCAGGCCCCAAAGCAGCAGGGCTAAGAAGCCATGGACTGAACCTTCCGCAACCATGCATCCAAATAAATGCTAAATGCTTCCTCCTTTGAGATGCTTCCTCCTTTGAGATGGTTTATCTTGTATTTTCTCACCGCAGCGATTAAGGTTGACTGCCATAAGCACCCGAGAGCTGGAACAATGGACCCTTGAGATAACCAGACACAAAGCCCGTCTCTCTAGAACCCCTCCCTGAAGTACGCAGCCTTGAAACCCGTGTCTGTAGGGCGGAAACGAACCCTCTTAGGATGCAGTACATGCCACTTACTATGCGATGTGCTTTTCGCTCTCAGATCGCCCATCCCATCGGAGGCACTGGCAAGATGACTGTCCAGAGCGACAAAGGAGTCGAAGACACTTCCGTGGATCCCGAGGACAAATGGAGTCAGAGAGCAAAGCAGCTCAAGGTCGTCTGCTAGATTGTGTGTTAAGTGCGCTTCGAGTGATCCTGCTAGATAGGAGCAATGTCTGTCACTGAGTTCTTGTGACTTAAGGGTTTCTTTTGTGCCTAGAATCTTAGCTAACATCCTGTGCTAAAGACTGCCTTCTGCCAAGGAGTGCCATAGTTTGCCTGCTTGCTCTGACAGCAACCCTACCTGCATTTTAAAAGGTCCCCTGTCCCAGAACACCCTCGTTTCACACCCCAAGCACACAGAGACCAAAACCTCTCACAGAAGGAAGGGATGAGGGATATGCAGGGGGGAAATAATGTTTCCTCTGGGAGTTAATCGCCACCCAGTAGACTCAGGTGACACTGTCCCTAAAGCTGATGGAATCCTTCAGAGCCTCACCAAGCTTTCTTTCCAGAATGTTCAAGCTTACCAACTGGTAACTTAGTATGATGGTATCCTTCTTGTCCGTGGCACTCATAAGTGATTTAAAGGCAGGGGTAATTGTTCCACTATTTCTAGAAGAAATAGAAAAATCATTAGGAACTGATTTTTTTTTTCCTGAGTCAGTGCATGGAATTATATGGAGTCATTCTTGGATCGGGTCCCACCCCTTATTTAAGAAAGGATGAGCATGGTGGCATGCCTTTAATTTCAACATTCTAGTACTTAGAGGCAGAGGCAGGCAGACCTCTGTTAGTCTGAGGTCAACCTGGTATACATAGCAAGTTCCAGGCCAGTCAATGCTACATAGTGAGACCTTGTTTCAAGGGGGGGGGGGCAAGAGGTGAGTCTTTTGAAATTGCCAGTTAAAATCACACATGAAGCAACTGTAAAGTTAAAACCATTAAAGTTCATCCAAGCATCAGAGACATCAGAAAAGATAAGACATCCCAAACCCTCTCTTGCCCTCACCAGGTCTATAGGCTGCTGATAGAATTGAAATAAGGAAATAGTCACTCCCCCAGAGCTTCCTGAAAGCCAGTGTCAGGGACGTCACATCAACAAGTAGAAAAGACAGGACTGAAGTGCGCCTACTTAAGATCTTTACTCCCTACTTAATCCTTCTCTGTGGACCTTTTCTCGGGTCGTGTTGTCCTACACCATCCTCTGCTCTCCTGTGGGTCTCCACAGGTTTCATAAGTCCCATTTCATGGCTGTGCCCAAACTGAAGGCGTCAGTTGCTCAGGGGCCATTCAGGGCAGTGTGTGGAAGTATATCCCTGGCCACAAGAGCCTTCCAGGTGTCCTGAGAGTGAAATGAAGTCTTCCCAGACCCAAAACAAAACCACCAATGATCGCATCATGAAAAGTCACTTGGAGCCCTTAGCTCGTCATGGTCAAGCCCCTGTGACCCTTTCCCCACCTTCCCAAAGAACTATGCATTTGCTCTGTATTGCTTCTGTTTATCTGACCTGAGTTCTTCCTTGCTGACAATGAGGGATTTAGTTAATAATTCATGTCAGTTGTTTCTTAATAATATTAAATACAATGTGGAGCCCAAGCTCACATTTGATTTTTAGCAAACACAAAAGAGAAAGATAATAATACAACAGAAAGGTGTCTGGGTCAAAGGTGATCTTGGAGCCTAGGCACAAGTTCCAGGACCCCAGGGCCCAATCGGGGCAGCTAAGAGCAGCAGTGGCCTCTGTGTTAGAGGAGATGAGCATCTAGTTAGTAAGAGTGTGTATTCTGCCGTTTGCTTATGACACATGAGCCACAAGACAGAAGCAGCCAGACAGCGCCTCTCACGGAGCTAGCGGATGGTGCGGTGTGCATGGACACAGATGACTAAGGATGGGTCTCACTATAACAACCCCTTCTCAACTTCAGGCCTTGAGATTTCCCAGTGCTGACACTCCACATGAGACATGCAAACCTACTGCCATTAAGCCGTTAGTCAGAGTGCATGGAGGGTATACCAATTGCCAGCGTGGGTAACAAAAGAATCCTGGTGAGACTAGAATGAAGTCGCGGATTTCCGTGCTGATGGAGATTAAATAGCCTGAGAATGGCTTTGTATATTAACTTCAGGGAGCTCCAGCCTCACCACCTAAAGAGTGACACCTGATGCCTCAATTGTAGGGTAATAAATCTCCAGCCAGCAGCAGATCTCAAGTAGGCTACTTGGGAGGTGAGAGGAATCGTATCAGCCCATCAATGTCTTCCTTTCTGAGCACTGAAATGCCCACTCTGGGCACTTATGTCTACCTGACTGGAGGATTTAACTCTCGAGACAACTCAGGTTTGGTAAAATGATGAGTCTTTGGCCTTTGTTGACAAAGCACCCTATGATGAGGGCCGCTGCACTCTGAATCGTCAGCAACAAAGGTAACGACATGACTAGAATCACGTGGTAACCAGAACGTCAGACATAGTTTCCCCAGAAAAGGAAGTTCTCCTGGGGTTGTTCTTTTTTTCTGAAGGGAATAAACAGGAAAAAAACTGGGGAAATATAAGTCAGGTGACAGCAGAAAGTCTCTAGTTAGTCCTTTAGTCCCCCAGAGAGCGAAAGGCTGAACAAACGTTGAAAAGAATGCTGCAATTGATAAGTATGAGTTAGAGTTTATAGATCATAGCAAAGAAAGGCTTGTTCAACCTTAACTAACAGGATGACAGCGTGAAAAGAGCCACTGTGTTTCAGAAACACACCTGTGAGACTATAAAATAACAGTTTTGGGGCAAACAAGATGGCTCAGCAAGCAAAGGTGCTTGCCACCAAGCATGACAATATGAATGTGTTCTAGCCCTGGGACCCACGAGGTGGAAGGGAAGAACTGACACCTGCAGGTGTCCTCTGATGCCACACATGCACTATAGCATGAGTACAGCCACATGGATATGTGTGCACATGCACACAAGTAAATGTAATAAAAAAAAAAAAACTTGAACAGTTTTGAGGGGCCACTACAAAGAAGAACGCACCTGGAGTCTGTATTGGGAGAGTCATGGCTCACGCTTCCCATGCAGCTTGATATACTATGTAGAAGAAACCCTTTTTCTTACCTGGATGTTTAAGGAAAGGTGTTTGGTATTTTTGTCAGTTTTTTAAGGTGGGAGAGAACTGTGGTTGAAAACTGAAAATTTATAAGTGCCAATGAGAGCCTGGTCAATCCTCAGCTCAAATTCAAAAGAAAATGTGCTACATTCCAAACAACGTCATTCTTTATCTAACCAATCTGCTGTTACAAGCAATGTTTTTTATTACTGGTGTGCATTAGCAGACTTTAAATTTGACATCCCAATGTGGTTTTATTAGAATCGGGGACCATGATTATTATTTGGGAGCAGGCAGAGGCTCATATTGTCAGCCTGCAGCGTGTATCAGGGGAGAGAAATAAAGCCTAAAACTATATTATCATGATGCATTCTTTTTTCCCAACTAACTAAAGCAAATCTTTAGTTAGATCAAGAAAAGGCATGCTTTGCCCAGTTTGAGTATTTTCACTGGCCTCCAATGAACGGCCTAATGGTTGCATTTTTCAATTAACATTGCGTAGACATGGGTCATGAAGGGCTCTTTTTTACATGTGTGTTCTGAAAGGGACAAAGACAGTGCAGTTCTATAACACACTGATGCTCACGGCCATCTTACTGTTTCAATAAGCAGTTAATCATTCTTTCCAAAGGCCTCTTAACCCTGCTCATTTTTCACAAAGTAATGAGTGCTCCATTCCTCAGGAAATCCTCTGAAATGGCCGCAGGGCACAATACAGTGACACAGTGTATCTATTGTCCTGGGAGTACATTGTGTTGTTACTGGACTTAGGAAATCATGGAGATGGCTCTGAGGCCCCAATCCCTGTCCCCAGATGTTTGATTGCCTAAGTGCAGACTATATTAAGCAATAGAAAGCAAAACAAGCCTTGCGGTTTCATAGACGTCCTATCACAGCCCCGGCTCTCTCATAATCCTCTGAATACGATCTAATTTGTTTCATCTGACAAAAGAGGTCATTTCTAGCTGTTGACTGTGTGAGTATACAGAGCTGATGGGCTGATATCGAACTTGGACCTGCGTGGCACAGGCAAACCTCTGGTGTCTTCTGGGTGGGGTTTTGGAAATGCTTCAGTAGCATAGCCTGTACCTGTTGGCGTAGATACATGTCCTTTCTCTGTGCATCTCTTTGGAGGTAAAGCTTAGCTCCCTCCCATTCCCAGCTTGGTGACACCTTTCCATATGGCTTGCCAGAGAACTAATACAGAGGCCGTTTTAAGCTCTCAAACGCCTTCTGGGCTCACAATCTTACATTTCCTTAGCTGCTCACGCCCAAGTCACCTGCAATAGGAAAGAACTCTCTGGATTCTCTCCTTTGCAACCCAGGGCCACTTTCTTAGAAGTTTCAACTCCCATTAAGAAAAAACAAAAAGAATTAATTGAAAATTTATGAAGAGTACTCACCTTCTAATTTTACCTTAACTATAATTTCTTTTTTAGAATTACCAAGAACACTTGTCTCAATATGAAGATACAAAATCGGGCAGTGTCCCAAGAGGTCAGTCCTCCGATACAGCCAATGGGCAGCAACCTTCCAAGAGAACAGGCAAGGCCAGGGTTCGGAAACAGAAGAAACGCCAGAATGGCCTGAAGTCTCTTGGGACCAAAGATCTCATTGTCAGTCAAAAACATCAGAATTATCCTCTCCAACAACCACAAAACCAAATGCAGCCAATGGATGCCTCAGCAAAGCATGGCCTGGCCACATATATGAATTCTTCGAATACAGATTTGCAGGACTCCCAGACACTCGCCCACAACCCCAAAGTCACCTCCAACACATTCGTTCCACCCAAGCAGACTTTTGACAGGGTGTTGTATAAAAACTCTGTCTCGGGGCTGAATGCTAATAAAAAAAGAGGACACAAACATGAAGACGAGAAAAGATCTTTGTATGAGCAGCAACCCCTCTACATGCTTTCTGATATGGATCTGCAAGACTTTAATGAACCTTTTCACAGACATGTGTCCCTGAGCCAGAAAGGCCCTCAGTCTGATTATGACATGAACACACACAGGTCAACGAAGATCAAGAAGCCATCCAAACAGCCACAGGCAGAGACAAAGTACAAGAACATAGAGATGCTATGGTGAGCATTCTGTTTTTTAGTTCAAAAATTTTATTTTTGTGGGTGTGAATGTGAATGTGGTTTCGTGCGTGTGCATGCATAATGTTTGCATATGTGTGCATATGAATGCACACGCACACATAGGCCGAAGTTTCTGTCATGCAAACTGATCCCATTACCACACAGAGGTTTACTATTAATTGGAAATGTTTGGCTAATATCTCAGACTTGTTACTAGCTAACCCTGACGTTTAAATTATCCCATGTTTCTTATCTTTGCTTTGCTGGGTGGATGGGTATGTTTTCTCAGCACGGCGTGTCCACCTTGCTTCTCTCTGCATCTGCTTGAGACTCCTGAGTCCACCCTTCTTCTTCCCAGCATTCTCAGTTTGGCTCTTCTGCCTAACCTTATCCTGTCCAGCTGTTGGTCAGTCAGCTTCTTTATTAAACCAATCACAGTGACATCTATTCACACAGTGTAAAGGAATATTCCTCACATGCGTGCGCAAGGCAGAACACCTATGGAGGACAGTTTGGATCTGGGGATCAAACTAATGGTCATTAGGCTTCTGTAAGTGCTTTTGCCACAGAAGCCATCAGACTTGCCTGGAATTTCCTTATCGTGAGTGGTTTGTTCAGACGAGAAATTAGAGGCTATGGAGAAAGAAAAGAGAGGGAGAAGGGGGCAACGGAGCCGCTGAGTGGGTCAGGCTAGAAGAAAAGACCAACTAACACCGCCCCTGCCTCTGATTCCTGCTTGATTTCTAATGTCTTCCTTCTCTTGCTGCTCTTCTCTACTGATTATGTGTTAATGAAACTAGAAGTTTGAGCAAGGGAAAGGCACAGGGACACAGCCAAAGTAAATTAATATGGTTAGAAGGATTTGAGTAAAGGTCAGAGAAAAGGTCATCTCCAGCCTGGAGCGACCAGGCCTAGAAAGGTGTGTAGGTGTAACACGAGGGCCGACTTGTTGGGGTTTCTGTCCCGCCCAGTACCCCAACAAGCCAGCAAGTCCCAAGGAAAATCACACACAAGACTCCATAAGGTTATAAACTGATTGGCCCATTAGGTCAGGCTACTTATTAGTTCTTATAACTTATCTTAACCCATTATTCTGATCTATGTTAGCCATAATGGCTCCGTACCTTTCTCATTGTGACAGCTTACATGTTGCCTCTTCGGTGGTCTGTACAGGAGTGGCTGAGGAAGCTCTGCTTCCAGAATGCTCCCAGTCTCTTTGCTCCACCGCTACTTCCTGTCTGGCTTTCCCGCCTATACTGCCTGCCTGGCCAATCAGCGTTTTATTAAAATACATGATTGACAGAATATAGATAATTCTCCCGCACCATGTAGGCACAGAGATACCACCACAGAAAATACCTAGAAATTCAATGGTAGGGAAATTTCCCTGATATTTAGTCCCCTGTGACCTCTGAAAAGTATGCCTTTGAGGAAATGTTCCCCTAAAGAGAAGGTAATGATTCAGGTGGCGGTGGTGGTGTGTGACTTTAATTCCAGCACTCAGGAAGCAGAGCCAGGAGGATCTCTGTGAGATTGAGACCAGTCTAATCTACAGAGCAAGTACCAGGACAGCCAAGGTTACACAAAGAAACCCTGTCTCAAGAGAGAAAGAGAGAGAGAGAGAGAGAGAGAGAGAGAGAGAGAGAGAGAGAGAGGGTAATGAGGTACAGGGTTATACCGAAGGACTGCGGTCCCTACTGCCCCAATGTGCACATGGTAAGGAAGTCCACCTGATGATGAGTATCTCTGACTCAGTGATTAAGAGCAATGGCTCCTCTTCCAGAGGACCCAGGTTCAAGCACCTACATGGTGACTCACAGCCATCTGTAACTCCAATTCCAGAGGATATGACATTATCTTCTGGTCTCTGAAGGCACCAAGAATAGGTGTGGTACACAGACATACATGTAAGCAAAGCATCCAGACACGAAAAAGTGCTGGTTGTGGTGGTGCATGACTTTAATTTCAACATTCAGGAGGCAGAGGCAGGCACATCTCTGAGTTCAAGTCCAGTCTGGTCTACATCAGGCCAGCAAAAGCTACATAGTAAGACCTGTCATAAATGAATGAATGGATGAATAAAATTTAAATGTAAAAGATACAGTGACTATCTTCTTTAGAGTTAGAATTTTTCAAGTTCCCTACAATATAGATGCATTACTCCAATAAGCAAGAAAAAGCTATTTTGTAAAGTTACTTCAAGAGACCATCCCTGATGTTCCTTCAGAAAACAGGTTTTCGGGGGCTAGAGAGATGGTTCAGAGGTTAAGAGCACTGACTGCTCTTCCAGAGGTCCTGAGTTCAATTCCCAGCAACCACATGGTGGCTCACAGCCATCTGTAATGAGATCTGGTGCCCTCTTCTGGCCAGCAAGCATATAGAACACTGTATACATAATAAATAAATAAATCTTTAAAAAAAAAAGAAAGAAAGAAAGAAAACAGGTTCTCTGGACATCTGACATGATGACTTTGATGCTAAAGTACACAGGAGACGTGTGTAATCTGACACACAGGGCATCTTTCATGGGCTTGTTTTCAACACAGGAGGTAACTTTACATATAAATCAACTGGGAGACAGGTACCATGTGAGATGATCTGAGATATACGTTAGTCAGCTTTCTGGATGACTGATGGCTGGCAAATACCCTTGCTGTCTTTTTTCTTTAGGGAGATGACTTCTAACCCTTTTGAAACTATAACTAGTATTTATGTTGGGTGTGGTTGTGTGTACCCCGTAGTCTCACCACAGAGAAGGTTGAGGAAGAATGATACTGAGCTAAAGGGTGGGCCAGGCAGCAGAGAGACAACCTGACTCTGAGCAGGCACATCCTGCAGGCCTCATGTCTAGGGTTCCATCTCCAAGCGTTCTCCCCCGACCTCCAAACATGCCCTGTAACACGTGTGTATGTCATCCTTTACATAAATGTATATTCTTACAACAGGTACACACATGTGCCCTTGTGCACACACACAACCACATGCACGTATGCAATAATAAAGATAATTTTTGTTTTTTAGTAGACAGGTGTAAAAATTCTTTCCTGGGGGCTGGAGAGATGACTCAGCCGTTAAGAGCATTCCCTGCTCTTCCAAAGGTCCTGAGTTCAATTCACAGCAACCATATGGTGGCTCACAACCATCTGTAATGAGGCCTGATGCCCTCTTCTGGCCTGCAGGCATACACACAGACAGAATATTATATACATAATAAATTTTTTAAAAATTTAAAAAGAAAATTCCTTTCTGTTACTATTTTCCTTTGTAAAGAACTTTTGTTATAAGTGAACTTGTAATTTCATCAAATATGTTTCACCAACCCTATAATGTAATGAAATATATTCATAGGTTTTCTACTGTGATGCCATCCTTTTGTTCCCAGAATTAACCCAGCTTGTCACATTAGACTTTTGTGTTGCTGTTGAAGAAACCCAGAGCCTTGAACACTTTAGGCAGGGATGTTACCACATGGCCTATCCACAGACTAGATTTTTAATAGATTGTTCAATTTTCTTTGTTTAGGATTTAGTGACATTCATATGCATGAAGGAAGTGAGGCCTTATCTTTCCTATCTCCCACTGACCTTATCTAGTTGTATTATCAATATGCTATCAAACCAGACATGGTGGCACAGGTCTGCAATCCTAGCACTGGGAGATGAGGCAGAAGAGCAAGGAGTTCAAGGTCTCATCAAGGTCAGGAATTATCAAGCAAGAATTATAGTTACAATATTGATATCTATTTTATCTTTTATCATAACTAAAGAAAACTATAATTGTAACTATCTTTTCTTCAACTCCATCAAAGAGCCCAAAAGGACATAATATTACCTAAGTAAACAGGAAGTGTATTGTAAGCAACTTCCAAAACTATAGAATTGACAGAGGCATCTCACTTCCTGGACAGTCACCCAAAGTTCTCTATCACTGGAGCATCCATCTTCAGCCTACAGGCCCATAGTATCTGACAGACTTTTCCACGAAGTAGGAAATGTCAAGGACAGTTCAGCCTATATTGGCAGTTTGTCAGTCACTTTCTTCTGTATCCTACAGAATGTCTGGCAGACTCTTTCCTGAAGCAGGAACCCCAAAGAACCATCTCACCTTTAGGTTAGTTCAGCAGTCATTTTTCTGTGGGTCCTGCAAGTTCATCAAGCAGTTCAGGCAAGAGCAGTTTCTTGCCCAAATGGCTAACAAACTCCATGAGGAGCCTCTTTGATGCGCATCATCCTCTTGAAGTAGATTGGTGCTGCCAGGAACAGATGTGTCTCACTGCCATAAAGTCTTAAGCTCTTAAAACATTTTAAATGCCATATTCTGAAGGTCTCTAAAAGATTTGAAGAATGCCTACCTGACTGAAATATAACTCTATATATCTAGAAAGCCGAACTAACATGACTACAAACTTGACAATTATAGATGACTATCTATTAACCTATATTTCTTAATTATACATTATATTTTTAAATGAGCTGCACAAACACAATACCTTAATCAAAAGTAGAAATATATATATATATGTATATATAATATATATAACAAAATTGATCTTAAATTTGTATCAATAAACCAAGATCCATACCAATGCAAAGTATCTATCTCTATAGCATATCCCCCTTTAAATGTAAACAAACATTTATAAACAATATTTGGTAATTTGGGCATAGTTCTCTCCAAACTACTTCCTTCTGTTTATTGGCAAAGTAATTTTTGGGGTGTTCATGGGGACCTTTTGGGTGGTCTTGGTCCATCAAACCACATTAGTGTGGAAGAAATCCACAGGTTCTCATCTTCTGTGGAAACAAAAGTAGAACCTTTTTTCCAAAGCAACATATCCTTAGACCCAAATTTTGAAGTCAAGATACCTTTAAAATACATATGTTGGTTTAGCTTGGTAGTCCATACAATAAAATGTCTCTCTGTACTTAGCTCTTTCACAGTCAAATAATTTAAAGTAAACACAATAGTATACATAATTCAGACTCTCTGTGTATATTCCATCTTTATGTGACTTATTGTTCTTACTCTATTATTTTTTCTACAAGTTTACTCTGTCTCTTTAAAGACTTTGTTTTATTTTTTAATAAAAATAAGTGGAATAATAAAGGAAGTGATTTACTTCCTTTTATAACTCTTATACTTTTTTTCTTCTCTCTCCTAAGCCTACATATATTTGTCCAACACTGTGACCCATTTAGGGGTCTTTTTTAATCTGAATCTCTCTTTGTTGTCTATCTGTAATTATTTTCTGATCAGAAGTGCCTCTTTTTTCTTAATACAAGGGGGCATGGCTAGACCAACTCCACATCACTGCATGTTTGCTCTGTCCAGTCCAACATGGCAGAGGCATGTTCACTGCCTCTGAGAGTCACGCACATGGCCCATTTTCATGCACCACAGTGGGTCTATGTTGCCAATAAGCAAGTTGTAGCACTCTGTTCACAAACTCCATTTAAATGCTCCATAGCCAGACCTCCAAAAAGAGTCAGAGTTGTTCATGCATGAACCAGAAAGCCTTCTTAAAGGAACCATGCAGTTTTTGCTGCTACCACTGAGTCAGGAAGCCTTCTCTTAAAAAGAATTGTGCCTCTGCTTGCTTCTAGCAAACTGAGGCCACCTAAGAAAACGCTGCTAGCAAAAGCCATGCTTAACTCTGTTCTTTTGTGTCTAGAATTCCTTTTTAAGCTCTCTCAGGTTTTACATGGATATAGTCAACCATGTTAGAGTGCCAATTTGTTGGGGGAGGTTGTTAGTTTGTTCCCAGCTGCTCTGCCCTGAAATTATTCTGTAAGCCACGTGGCTGTGGCTTACCAGTAAAGTTCCATCTGGCATCTGTCTCCAGTGGGGCTACATGACTTCTCCCTTACTCTGCCTTTTTTCTCCCAGCATTCAGTTTAGTTTTCCCACCTAGCACTATTCTGCAAAGCCACTGGCTGAAACAGCTTTATTCATTAACCAAAAAAAGCAACACAGATACAGAAGGACTTCTCACACCAAAGGTGTACTACCCTTAAAGTTTTCATTTCATTTCTTCACATTATTTGAGATATTCTCTATCTGTAGTCATGTCCTTATTTTCTTTTCTGCTATTACTTTTCCTCCTTTGGGTGGTTATGTGGGCAGAGTTTTATTATGTAGTCCTGAACAGGGCCTAATTGTCAGTATGTTGCCTAGGCTGTCCCCAAACTCATGACAGTTCTCCTGGCTTGGTTTCTCAAGTGCTAGGATTGCAGGCATGCATTATCATACCTTGCTGACATCTCTCAACAATTTTTTGATGGTTTTGAGACCTGTTGCACAGTTGGCCTGAGAACTTTGATCTTTCTCCTGTTTGAATTACCTTTTTTAGATTCTTGCTTTCTTTATTTTGTTGAATTCATCCTCTGGTATTTTTCTTTGGACAAGAAATGTAGTGTGATGGCAGAGGGCAGGTGTTTCTCTGTGGTGTCTTGCACACTTTCTCCATGGCAGGGCCTGTCCTACCAGAAGGACACCCCTTAGCTCAGTCCCTCATGCAACTTCCCTTTCCCTTTTCCCATGTCTCCTCTCTCATACTTTCCACTCTTGTTCTACTAGAGAACTCCATCCTCTTTCTAGAAGCTGAACATTCTGAGACTTACACCACTGACACTGCCTTCACTCTGTCCCTGTCTAAATGACAGCCAGCAGAATATTGAAGAATTCTAGGTTAGAAACCATTTACACTCAGAGTCATCTTCTTGCTTCCAATGTGACTTTTGCACACTAAGAAGCCACTTGATTCCAGATCCATGGCACATGGTTGCTCATTTTCTCTCCAGAAGCTGTAAGGTCACTGTTGTTACAGATTGTGCCAGCCCCTTTGAACCAGGAGACTTGCCTCCTTCCATTCTGAGGAAAACACAGCAGAATCTCACGGACCATCTCTTTCCATCCTCTTCATCCTCTGTCTGTGCCTTACTCAGACACATCCTTCCAAGATTGTGCTTAGATGGCGCTGTGTCTGTATCGGCACTGAGTTCCACCTTTCCACTGCTCTCGTGTTTTTCAGGGTGTGCCTTTGTTTCTGTGACTGTCTTCTGATGTTCCTCTTACTAGGGAAGCAGCGTCATTCTTTCTTGACATCCTACATTCTCAACAAGGTACATGGCAATGGCAAGTCAGGGCTTTTGACAATTTTTAAGTTTTTAAATTTTCATAGTTTCTCTTTCATCTGGGTTTTGGTTGGTGTTGGTGGAATTTCTATCTCTGTCTCTCTCCATCTCCCCCTCTCCCTCTCCCTCTCTTCATCTCCACCCCTCTCTCTTTACCTGTTCTGTGTTTGCATTAGGGCTGGTCTTGCTTATCTGACAACCTGAAAATCATATTGGAAGCTGAGTGACAGGCCTATTGACACTGGATTTCTGTGATCAGTGTGGCACCTGATGGAAGGCTCCTCCTGCCAGTTCTGTGTCTTTTTCTTGGGTGGTTCAATTAATTTCTGCCCCTGATACTTCACAGATACAGAACATTTTTCTTTCTTTCTTCAGAAATGCAAATCTCTAAGGTACGGAGCTTCAGAAAAAACAGTTGCTTCCCAACATGGAGAAGAAAATCCCAAGATTTGTTTGCTGCTTGTTTGTGCCAGCCATGCATCCCACCAAGCCAGTCACGCACTCCACCAAACCAACCATGCACCTCACCAAGCCAGCCACACACTCCACCAAGTCAGCCATGCACACCACCAAGCCAGCCACATTTTCAGCCTAGCAGCATTAACTCTTAAACCTCAAATCCTTTACCCAAAAGTTCCCCAAAGAAAGCTGCGTCTTGGAGCTGGAGAGATGGCTCAGAGTTAAGAGCATTGCCTGCTCTTCCAAAGGTCCTGAGTTCAATTCCCGGCAACCACATGGTGGCTCACAACCATCTGTAATGAGGTCGGGTGCCCTCTTCTGGCCTGCAGACATACACACAGACAGAATACTGTATACATAATAATAATAATATAAAAAAAACTTAAAAAAAGAAAAGAAAGAAAGGTGTGTCTTTAGCTAATCCAGAACCTGCTTTGGTTTTTATTTATTTTTGTTTCCATACCCGGACATGCCCAGATTCTCTGGCACATTCAACTATGTATTTAAAGAATGCACTTTAATCATTGTTTCTAGCTGTTGTGTAATGGGTAGGACTTTGGGTTTCAGAATGGTGTTCTGGGTTTTGTTGTTATTTGCATGCTCACTTGTCAGCTTATGCTTCACACACTAACTGGAAGTCCTAACAAACCTTTCCTGTTGTGGACTGGAGGGACGGCTCAGCCAGCAAGAGCCGAATACTATTACAGAGGACCCGAGTTTGGTTCCCACACTCACATGAGACGCCTGTCACTCCAGGTGTCGGGATCTGACACCCTCTTCTGAACTCCAAAGGTACCCGGACACACATGTACACACACAGAGACACATAAATAAATAAATATTCTTGAACGGGAGTTAGAATGTCCCAAGGAAAAAGAGGAGGATTTGAAGATGAGAAATCAATATATTCATGAGAAGATTGATGGTTCCTAAAGATTTCTACACAGAAAGTGGTTATGGATTCAAGTTTTATTTAAAGCACTTCTGTTTTCTCCAAAGGAAATTCCACTCTTCCTCAGACGCGGACCGCGTCAGCGCCTCTCCAGACTCCCGGCTTGCCCAGATCATGGAACAGCATCAGCAAGCCTTGGTGCAGCTGGCAGAAGTGCAGCCCAGCGAGGGCTCCTTATCCAGCGCCACACTCCCGCCTATCCTGTCCAGGGTGGAAAGTGAATCCCAACTCACTTCAGACAGAAGCCACCGACAGCAGATGAAGATGGCGCGTAGTAATTCGGAAGGCTACCTGCTGCAGCTGGAAAGGGGGAAGAAGCACAGGAAGCGCAGCGGCCCCAAGGTGATGGTGAAAGCTTGGCTGCTCAGCCGAGTCACTTCTTAATTCTGATGACACAGATGGGCCTGGAACAGGGCTGGTCCGGGAACCAGGAACTCTCTCCTCAAGCCCTTGCTGGTCCCTAATAACCCCTCCCTGCCTTTCCAGAAGGTTCTATTGTCAAGGTGCCTGTTCCCTTTCTTCTTAGGTCATCTCACTGCAGAAGGCAGTACTAATTCTGCTTCTATCCCCCATTCAGTCTTCATTTCCCTCACCCCCATCCTTCTCCTAAGCTGGGTCTCACACCTTCATGTCTGAGAAAAAAGAGCAGGACTGAGGTAGTGAGAGTTGTGCTGCCAGAGCTCCCTCGCCACCCGCCACCCTTCCGTGGCACCGGAAGCGACTTCTTGGTGTGCATCTCACCTGAGCTCCTACAGCAAAGCCCCCAGGTCAGCCGGCGGGCTGAGCCGCTCTCCAGGAGGGCAGCTGGTCTTTACTGAGTCCTTCATCTAGACCCTGGGCCGCCACAGTGAGCGTTTTAGTGCAATCCAGTCTCTTCTTGTATTACTTTAAATGCAACTTTTTTAAATTCTCAGGAAGTTCCCTTGGCTCCAGGGTGAAATAATGCCTTTTTGTTTTTCACTACTATAATAAGATACCTGAGGCAGGTTGTGTTATAAAGAAGTTTATTTAGCTCCTGGTTCTTGGCATGGAAAGTGCTCCTATTAGCTCGGAGCTGAAAGACCCCACTTCCACTGTGGATAAGAGGCCTAAATTTTGGGAATCACAGGTCGCTTCTTTTCTGAGAAGCATGATTACATAGCAGCTGGGTTCTAGCACAGTGCCTGTATCACTCTCAAGTGTTTCCCAACTAAGCCAAGACTCAGACCAGACTGGGAAGCAAGCATCACATGTATTATTTCCATGGGAACACAAGGTCAGCCATTGTAACCAACACTTCCTGTCAACATGGAGAAGCCTGCTCACTCCAGAGCTTATAGATCCTAGGGTCTAAGAATCAGGCTCTCAGAACAGAACTTTCTTGTAGGTGAAAAAGAACAGCTTTTGCACTGGGTTCTGAGGCGCAGGGTTGGGAAGAAGTTGGTGGATTCAGTCATTCCGAAGTCCTTGCACTGGCTTGCTCCTTGCAATGACCTGCTCAGCCTGCTTTCTCATGGAATCCAGGACCACCAGCCTAGGACTGACCCCACCCATGGTGGGCTGAGCCCTCCCCCAGCAATTACTAGTTAAGGAAATGCCCTACAGTGTTGCCTACAGACCCATCTTATCGAGGCCCTGTTCCCAAATAAGGAATCACTGACTTTCCCCAGTCCCTAATTCTTCATAGGAACGATAGAATCACTCTTTTTTTCTGGTGTGATGTGATATTTAAATGAAATAATGTACTGAAACCTCAGCTTATTTCCTAGCAAAAATTATACATCGATTAGGTGTCATTTCTCTTCCCTTCTTTTTCACAAATAGCATTCACGTTGTGCTGAGAAAGGGTAGAGGCAAAAGCCGCGATGACAGTACTTAGTACCTCTAGTCTAAGGCAGTGGGAGGTGGGAAGAGTAGGAACAACTTCCTGTTCCTGCCTGCCCCTCCCTAATGTCTGCAAGGGTGCCTGCAATCCACACACATCCTTTTTCTCAGCCCAGTACCGTCGATCTACATCCGACAAACACAACACACTGGAGCCCCTTTGTCTCTAAGCCGGTCCAGATGCTGAAGTGACTTAGAACTAAGTGATTTGTATAGGACAGCAGGCAGTCCCGGCACCAGACAGGGGCAGTCATTATCCATGTCACGCCTATTTGCTGGCCAAGTCAAAGCTCCTGGTTTCCAAGGGAATCGCCCCAAATCACGGTAAAAATTCTGAGGATTTGTAAAGCTAATAGGCCTGGGGCCCCTTCCTCTTCTGGTGGTGCTGTCAAGAGTGGTTTCAGAATACAAGGCATTGTCCACGTCATTAAATCCAAGTTTAGGACTAAGAAATTAACACAGCACAAGGGATGCCAAACTATCCAGATATACTTCTGCTGTCTCCGGCCACCACTTTCCCTAGTAAGGGCTCAGTACAAAGTTCCCTGGCTGGTGAGGTTGAGCTTGCGTAATTAACTGGTGTTTGCTATCACAGACAATCTGGGGCTTGTTGCTTGACTGCCCCTAAAAAGAGGTTTATTTGGATTAAGTTTAGTGATCACAGAGCACATATCCTTTGCCCGCTGCTCCCTGGCACCCAAGGCATTGTTTACATCTCGTTTCTCAGTAACTTTCTCAGTCTTACACATCCAAGGACTTTTCTGGAGACTAGGTCTGCGGCGCAGTCTCCTTACCCGCAGCAGGGTGTAACATTTCAGAACTGAATCAAGTCCTCACGGATCAGTCAATGCCACGTCAGTTCAGGCGTCCTCCTTGGAGTGAACAGGCACAGTCACACACCTTGCCCGAGAGGAAGATGAATGTGTAGAACCCTTGACCCAAGAAAGTCCTGTCTTTGCGAGGCCAAGGCCTGTAGATGTCAGTGGATATGTAGTTTTTTGTTTGGTTGGTTGGTTTGGTTTTTGGTTCGGGGATTTTTTAAAACAGGCTCTCACTCATTCTGTAGCCCAAGTTGACCTCTAACTCATGGTAGTCCTCCTGTCTCATCCTACCATGTGCTAGGATTAAGGTGTGAACCACAAAGACAAGCAGTGACCATGCTTAGGGATTTGTCTGGACCCTGCTTCTATATTCCAGTGTGTGATCCCTGTGTTCAGAGACGCAGTAGTAGGTGTTGATGTCGTATAGCTGTCATTGTCACCATCACCATCACCACCATCGTCACCAACATCACTGTTGGACATTGTGCTACTTTTTAGTCTTTTAAAAACCAGGGAAAGGTGACCTAAAATAACGCCTGAGGATTGTTTGACTGTAAAACTACTGAAGAAGCATTAAGCAGCTTAGCTGCCTAGGGCTAGAGGTGTGGAGACTGGGGACAAGGACAGTGCAGATTAACGGGTACTGGAGTTTTATTTTGTTTTTTTTCAGAGTGATGAAAATGTTGTACAATTGGATTGGGCAATGCTTACACAATTCGGTGACTATCCTAAAAGCCACTGAATTGCACAGTTTTAAATGAGTGAGTTTTGTGGTCTGAGAATCACATCTCAGCAATGCTGTTAAGACTTTAGATGGAGAGAGATCAAACAGAGTTACAGCACTGGGTTCTTCCTAATTACTTGCGCCAAACTTAAGCAGATCCAGGATTCTTACCGCCAGTCACCCGGAACAAACTCCCCTAGGAGCCACCTCCGTCCCCTGGGAAATGTCGTTGTGGTGTAGGCAGCTCATCCTATAAAGGGATCAGCAGCCATGGGGATGGCCCATTTGGGCCACATGCTCTCCCTCCGTGTCTGTATGGAATGCTAGACCCTTGGCTCTGATTTTTTTTTAACCCTAACCTTGATGCTTACTAAAGTTACTAGTGAGAACAGTGGCCGAAGATCAGCACACAATTATCCATGCTCCCTGGCATGTCCTTTGTGAATCGGGAGCATGATTAAAAGTTAAGCTGCACCGGGGTTAGGAATGAGGGTTCTGCCCGCTGATCATTTCTTTCTCATCATCTTCAGGCAAATTGGATTTATGGCTTGGACATGAGTGGTGGTTTATTTGTTTGGTCTCTTTTTATTTAAACCCTTTCTGTCATTTTGGTTTTTTTACTTTGGCAAATAGGTTATAATTTAGTGATTGTGAAACGGGGACACCAATGCACTTGAAGAACGGATTTGTAGTCACAGCAAAAGTTGCCTGCATTCACTCAGTTGTTAAAAACAACTGAAGTTTTAAAAGCGTTTTTAAAGTGTGGTAAACTGTACCTTGTAACCAAGGCTTGTGAAAGGAGCCAGCTTATTGCTTGTGGACAGCAGCAATGCTAATTGGTGGCCTTAAGTGTTCACTCGATCTCACTAGTCATACTTCTGCCAATTTATCTCAAAAAAATAATCAAAGTAACATACAGTCTTTACCTCACTCAATGCATCTTCAATAGACATTTAGTGAAATATCTAAATTATTTAATGACACCAAATGATAGAATATTTGTCTAAAATTCACATTTTTTAAAATCTACTTGGTGTCAGATAAATAAATTGAAATACCAAAATGGTCAGTAAAAAAAATTAAAATCATTTGTAGTATATGAACACTTTTATAAACATGTCTATGAAGAAGGGCCAGCAAGGTGGCTCAGGGGGTAAAAGTACCTGCTGTACAGGCCTAATAATGTGTGCATATGAGTGCACATGCATACTTGCATGCTCACACACAAATAAATACTTTAAATAAAAAAATCTCTAGTATTAAAAACAACAAGAGTATAAACAAGCCAAACAGAACCACACAAGTGACATGTGCCTCTAATCCCAACACCAGGCTGAAAGGACAGCTGGGGTTACATAGCCAGACCCAAACCCCCAACCAAACTATATATATGGACAAACATATGATGGACAAGAAGCAGCCATGAGCAGATACAGTGCTCTTATCTTGGTAATGACTCTTTTCCTAAAGATTTATTATTTTGGAATGTACTTCAATGAGCAACAATGCCCCTGTCTATTTTTATGTTATATTTAATGATTTTAGACCAAAGTCCTCCTTAAAATATTATCTTGCCTTCTCTCGATTTTTAGAGTTTGATACACTGAGAAAAGTCTTTACCATAAATGTTTAACATCATAATGGGGCCAGTTCTGCTTACAGAGCCTTTAATCCTGAAGTGCAGAAGTGTCACACTGGCGTGGCACTGTATTTTGCTCCTTCTGAATAGTGACTCTGAAGCCCTGGTGTGTTAGGAATATTGCCTTCCACAGCAGTGACAGACTGACCAGCAATTTCAAAACCATGGCTTCATTCTTCTCTCATACAATTAACCCAGAGGTAGGCAGTTGCTAACACTAGGGTTTCCATAGCTCAAAACATCAGAACCAAGAATTGTGTGATTCTCCTTGTTTCTCCCCTGCCTGCAGGAGTGC